CCCCAAAACCCCAAAACCCCAAAACCCCAAGATATTCTTTGCCGATTGAAATAGGTGTGAATGCCACAATGATGATTATATGAAGCCAAAGGCCCAGCTGGTTTTATTTCTTCTTATGGATAAACATCCTTGTCAATGTATTCATCCCTTGCTTGGCCGCAGGCCTAGCTGGGCTGAAGCCTACAGAGATAAGAAGGATCTTACCCTTGAAATTCTTGTACTTGGTCTGTTGGGGTAATGGGTTTAGAGAAGAAAGAGAAGATCCAGTCTATAAGGATTATAGGAAACTGACTTGGTGCAGATCTTTGAAGGGACGATTAGGTGAATTAGAGAAGATTATTTTGGGAGAGCATTTTTGGTATCCGTCATTATACTCGTTGGTGATGTGGTTTGGTAATCGGGGTTTTCTGAAGGATGATTCTTGGTTGGAAGAGTTTTGAGAGATAGTTGAATCGTTGAAGAGCTTGCTTGGTTTTGGGTATGATCTTTTTCTACCTTCAAAATGTTTTATATCTAAGAATTTATTTTCCATAGGAGGTTTTGTTTAGCTTATCAATTGTCGTTAATCTCTAAGATTTAATTCGATTAATACCTCTGAAAGCTCTTTATTTTTCATAAGTTGGAAATCATTTGCTTCTATAGAATTGCTGGCATTCTTTTTATCTTTATAAGATGATTTTTCTGAATGAATAGTTTTCTTCATAACTGAGCTTGAATCGCTACTTTTCTTCACTATAATTAACTCTCAAGCTTAAAGATTACTTTCATTATATCCGTTTATTAAATCCAAGGCATCTATAATTTTTGTTGAATTAATACCTTTATCTCTTTTCTTGTTAATCTTTCTTGAAAGTTTGATATTCTGATTAATATAATCTTGGTTCTATCTATTATCACATACTTTTACTTGATCCTTTTCATAATACAAAGGGGTATTCGGGTCATTATCTATAGTATCTAACTCATTTTGCATTGACTTTGTGCCTCCAACATCACCTCCTTGATCTATATTATAACTCTCCAAGATTACTAGAGTAACTTCTCAGACTGGCTTTTGGGGTCTAAAATTGATACTAAAAGGCTTACAATATGTGTACTTTTGGGAGCTTTGGCCTTGTGTGAACTTTTAGCTTCCACTTCTTCATTAGATTCGTTATCCTCTTCAGTTATTCTGTAGAAGACATTAGCGGTGTTCCTCATTCGGTCTAAATTATATTATTATTTTTAGAGTAAATTAATCCAAGAATTAGGCATTTCTAAGATCTATTGCTTGCAAGGTTAGCTAAGGCCCAGTCTTACCTTTACAGCTCAACATCTTGGAAGGATTCTTGAACTTCTTAGGCTTTGTGATTCTCGGGTTCTCCAAAGGATCTGTTGAAACTGACTTTGAAGATTTTTGGGAAATTTGAGATTTTTGAGTATTTTTAGAATTTGATCAAATTTCTGGCTTCTGTGGTTCAAAGTTTGAACTAGGTTCAGCTGGATGAGAAGGGGATTTTGGAGAATTTGGGCAGGATTTGTCAAAGGATTTGGATAGGTTTGTCAGAAAGGGGAATTTTAGCTTGGTCTTCTTTCCTAGATTTGGCTTGTTTTTGGAAATTTTAGAAGGGATTTGAGAGGTCCTTTCGAAAGAAGGCTCAATTTTAGATTCATAGCTTTTCTGTCGATTTGTTTGCTCTTCTAACTCAGAAACTTGATGATCAAATGCCATGCTTGCTTGGCTGATGATTTCCATACTTTGTCCTTCTAATATCTCAGAGAGATCGTCTTTAGGCTTCTCTGATAAAGAAGTGTTCAAAAACAATCAAAGATCTTTGACACTTAATGAAAATTTAGGAGGGAGATATTTAACTTGCTCCAGATCAGCGACCTTCGTATATAATTTCATAAATAAAACTTGAAAATTATCTTGAAAAGCAAGCTTCTCGATCGTAGCATATTTATGATTCGTCATCTTTCCAAGTTGATCAATTATTAACAATCATTGCTTAACTTTAGATTGTCAAGCATGAAGGAGTCTAAACAGGAATGCATTATAAGATGTCTCTTGTGACCGTGTTCCAAATCCACTATAGACAGACATTATCAATAATTATCAATAATTTTAATATTTTAGGGGTTTTGGGGTTTTGGGGTTTTGGGGTTTTGGGG